CCACCAAAGTCAAACTGGCTATAGAGTAGAATAGACTATACTCACTAGCAGTGAATTAGGCAGCAACATAAGAACAGTGTTTTTTTTTTCTCGCCGTTAATTTCGTTACTTATCTAACGTATTATTATGAGTTGATAATGCCACGTGTACGTCATCGCTTGTAAAGGGTTTGAGAGTCGTACATGATCATTAAATTCTCTACTGATTGATTTTGATTTTGCCAACAATTATTAAAGCTTAACACCACGAAATGTTTGATGTTTAAATTAATTGCCATGTCTCTCTGTCTCTCTCTGTATCTCTCTCTCTCTTCTTCCCCGCGTCGATTTCACATTTTCTCTTTTAAGACAGCTTTGAATCTACAGACAACTTCATTTTTACCAAAATTTCTGTTTCTTCAAAGGATTGAACTTTCATATTTCTCTCTTGCCCAGTTCTGAGTTATTGCAATCAGAAGTTGTAAACACTTTTCCTGTCTCTTTCTGCTACCCGAATTTATCTTCTTTAGCGTCTGTCTCTTTCAGCGGACGTGTCTTGTCTCTTTAAGGTAATTTCAAGACTTAAACTTGAAGTATCTCTGGCCTTCTTCTGCTGTCTGTTTCATTTTTGAAATCGATTTGGAGATTAGATCTGACTCAGCTTCGACTAAAAGCCATTGCTTTCGCCTTTGGATTGTTGATTCCCTAGTGGATGTTCTTTATCTCTTTAAAAAGGTCCTCTCTTTTAAATCAATTTTTGCTGAACTTGCCCAATTCGGAAACTTTGTTGCAAGTCTCCTCTTGGTCTCTGGTAATCGTTTTCGCATCAATCCTTATATTGATTTGAATCTGTAATCAGATTCGATCTTTGATGCTAATTTGGTATTCTATAGAAGACAACATATCTGAATTGGGTTTCTTCGTTGGATAGGATAAGTGGTTAGGGAATGAGAAAATTGTATAGGAAGCTGGTTTCATTCAGAGACCCATTTGCTAGGGTCAAGAGACATGTTAGTTCACATTCAGGGTTTAGAGCTTTCAGCGACAGAAAATGGTTGTTCCCTTTTCTAGCTAGCTTGATCATGTCCATTACTCTTCTGATTTTGTTAATTTCTGGCCAATTCGACAACTTCTTTGGGGAAGAAGATCAATTACCAGTTGATGTTGTTTCAGAGTCTAATGACTACTTTGTAGAATCAGATTTCAAGCAATCTATGAATTCGACGGCTGATGTTAATCCAGAGCCTCCTAGATTAGCTTATTTAATATCGGGAACAAAAGGCGATAGTCATAGGATGATGAGGACTTTACAAGCTGTGTACCATCCTAGAAACCAGTATGTTCTGCATTTGGATCTTGAGGCTCCACCTCGAGAACGGATGGAGCTGGCCATGTCCGTGAAGACTGATCCGACTTTCCGTGAAATGGAGAATGTTCGTGTGATGGCTCAGTCTAATCTTGTTACTTATAAAGGCCCTACAATGATTGCTTGTACTCTTCAAGCCGTTTCAATCTTGCTAAGAGAAAGCTTACATTGGGATTGGTTTCTTAACCTTAGTGCCTCGGATTATCCTCTAGTAACACAAGATGGTTAGTAACTCTCTCTATAATGCTTTAGTAGTCTATGATCCTTTTGAGCTTTATATTTAGTTGTGACTTATAATTTTGGCTTTTCTTTTTGTTTCTGTAGATTTGTTGTATGTCTTCTCAAATCTGTCTCGGAATGTCAATTTCATCGAGAATATGCAGCTCACCGGATGGAAACTGTAAGTATAACCATGCTTCATTATTCAGAGTCACACCAGAATCTCAAAGCATCTGTACTTACTTGGAATTTCTTAGCAGGAATCAGAGGGCTAAATCAATCATTGTTGATCCTGCCCTATACCTATCGAAGAAATCCGATATCGCTTGGACTACTCAACGGCGATCACTTCCAAATTCTTTCAGGCTATTCACTGGTTATCTTCTTTAATCTCACAGTTTCATATCTGTGAGAAAGATTATGAAATGTTTGAAGATGATTTATGTCTTAATTCTGCAGGCTCAGCTTGGATAATGTTGACTCGGTCTTTCCTCGAGTACTGCATTTGGGGATGGGATAATTTCCCAAGAACAATACTAATGTACTACACAAATTTCGTATCTTCTCCTGAAGGATACTTCCACACAGTAATCTGCAACAGCAAAGAGTTTATCAACACTGCAATCGGTCACGACCTTCACTACATTGCTTGGGACAGTCCTCCAAAGCAACACCCTAGATCTCTCTCGTTGAAGGATTTTGACAATATGGTCAAGAGCAAAGCTCCATTTGCACGCAAGTTCCACAAAAACGATCCTGCGTTAGACAAGATCGATAAAGAGCTATTGGGACGGACACACCGGTTTGCACCAGGAGGATGGTGTGTCGGGAGTTCAGCTAATGGCAATGATCAGTGCTCTGTGCAAGGTGACGACTCGGTGTTGAAACCAGGACCTGGTTCTGAGAGGTTGCAGGAGCTTGTTCAAACACTTTCCTCTGAAGAATTTAGGCGAAAACAGTGTTCTTGAAGTTATCTACTGATGACGCAAAATATAACGTTGTACAGTATATTGTTTTGTTTGATTATAAATTTTTGGTTATAGAAATTTCTTCGAAACACATGAATTAAGAACAAGTGACGTGCAGTGGGCTTTTATGGGCCGTATAGCGTCAGTGAAGTGGCATTGATAGGGCCATATTTATAGGGGACCAAGAATAAGGCCCAATTAGCTTGTACAGCCGAAAATAAAAAAGATCGCCGTTGCCGGGGATCGAACCCGGGTCACCCGCGTGACAGGCGGGAATACTTACCACTATACTACAACGACTTTGTTGTTTGGTTGTTTAGAACATAACTATTTAACAACAAACTAATTTGTATTTCTTGAAGGCTGACGCCAACACCGAAAGCTCTATCTCCACCACTCCATGTCTTCTTCGTACGCGTCGAGCTGCACTAAATTGATCTCTCTCACCAAACAATTAAGCTCTTACGCGAACCAAGGAAACCATGAACAAGCTCTTAATCTCTTTCTTCAAATGCATTCTTCTTTCGCCTTACCTCTCGATGCACACGTCTTCTCACTCGCTCTCAAATCGTGCGCTGCAGCTTTCCGTCCTGTTCTCGGTGGATCAGTCCATGCACACTCCGTCAAATCCAATTTTCTGTCGAACCCATTTGTTGGATGCGCGTTACTCGATATGTATGGTAAATGCTTGTCTGTTTCTCATGCTCGTAAACTGTTCGACGAAATTCCTCAGAGGAATGCGGTAGTATGGAACGCGATGATTTCGCATTACACACATTGTGGGAAGGTTAAGGAAGCAGTGGAGTTGTATGAAGCTATGGATGTTATGCCAAATGAGTCTTCTTTCAATGCTATCATAAAGGGTTTAGTTGGTACAGAAGATGGGTCTTATAGAGCTATTGAATTCTATAGGAAGATGATAGAGTTTAGATTCAAGCCTAATTTGATTACCCTTCTTGCGTTAGTATCTGCTTGCTCAGCCATTGGGGCTTTTCGTTTAATAAAAGAGATCCATTCATATGCTTTTAGGAATCTAATTGAGCCGCACCCTCAGTTGAAAAGCGGGTTAGTAGAGGCGTATGGGAGGTGTGGAAGCATTGTCTATGTGCAATTGGTGTTTGATAGCATGGAAGATAGGGATGTGGTTGCTTGGAGTAGCTTGATATCCGCTTATGCACTTCACGGTGACGCGGAATCTGCTCTAAAAACATTTCAAGAAATGGAATTGGCGAAAGTAACACCGGATGACATAGCGTTTCTGAACGTGCTAAAGGCTTGTAGTCACGCTGGTTTAGCTGATGAGGCTCTTGTATACTTTAAGAGAATGCAGGGAGATTACGGTTTGCGTGCAAGCAAGGATCATTACTCGTGTTTGGTGGATGTCTTAAGCAGAGTAGGGAGATTTGAAGAAGCTTATAAAGTGATTCAAGCTATGCCTGAGAAGCCAACGGCTAAGACATGGGGGGCTTTGCTTGGAGCTTGTAGGAACTACGGTGAGATTGAGCTAGCAGAGATTGCTGCAAGAGAATTGTTGATGGTAGAGCCAGAGAATCCCGCGAATTATGTGTTGTTGGGGAAGATATATATGAGTGTTGGAAGACAAGAAGAGGCAGAGAGACTTAGATTGAAGATGAAGGAGAGTGGAGTGAAGGTTTCACCAGGTAGTAGTTGGTGTTTGTTCAAAGATTGACATATTACCATGCTCATGAAATTTTTGTAAGCTCATACACAATTTTCGAAATCAAGGTTGTATAATTATACTTAATACTATTCTTAAATTATAAGAAAATAATATGCAAAAATACCTGCAAAAGAAGTTTGTAATTTGTGATCTTGTAACAAGTTAAGGCATAACATTCGCATATGAATTTGAATTTTGTAAGGCCGGGCATATTTGAGCCATCACAAACCTAACGGGGGCCGGTTAACGTCTAACCGCAACAATAAACTAACGGGGGCAATTTCGACTTCTTGGCATAGAGAGAATCAGGCTAGGGTTTTGACCAGCCGCGTGCTATTTAAGTCATCTTCTTCCTTGCTTTGTGTCGTACAATTAGAATCGATCTTTAGAATTTGGGTTCTTCGTCAATCGCTTTAGGGTTTGATTATATATATATAGTGTGGTTAGCAGGAGCCTCCCGGGCTAATCTGATAACTAAGGTACTTGAAGAAGTAAGCCCCAAAGCTCCTGCTAGATTATTTTTAGCGTTTGTGTTGCAGATTTGCCGTATTCCTTAGGCTTTTCTGTGTCAAAAAAGCGTCTATATCTCTCTTTTCTATGTATGTTTTGCTTTGAGCTGTGTTTGTTGATGGAATCGAGTTGGTATCAACGTTTGTTTATGTGGCAATGATTATAAACTTACCCGCGCTTCTGAGATTATTCAATGAAGTAGATACGGTAAATACATGGTTGAATTTCTTAATATGAGCCAAAGTTTTGTTTTTTTTTTATATGGGTTTCTGTGTTTTGATTGGCTGGGATGATGAATTGTAACAGCTTGATACGCCAGTTCTGCTTCAGATAATTCTTGATCGAAAAAGCTGTATTCTTATCCGAGCCTTTCATTGCTATTTTGTCTTTCTTCTGAGTTATTATTTCTTGGGAATGTCGATGAGGATCTAATCCAATCTTACGAGGTGCAGTGGAGCTGAGACCCTGTTTTACAGGGAGAACCCCTTGGCAGAAGCTGTAATTTCTTTGACTTCAATGGATTTTACTGAGACTTTCTCATTCATTTATCGCTTTTATTGAAATCTATTTGAGTTTAAACTATACACTTGCACTTGTTTTCTTAGTGCTTGTAGTCTGAAAAAACTCATAAATTACCAGTGTTCTCATCAGCTTTGGTCTCCTTAACCATGAGACTTGAGTTAAACAAGATCACTACATTATTCTCTTTCAATTTTATATTATCTTTTTGTTTTCTTGTTTTGAGTTTCTGTTTTCGGACAAAGAGTATGTTTTGCCCGTATTTATGAGGTTGGATATGGATATTAAACAATATGAAAAGCGTTGGTGGAACGGATAGACTTGTTATGATTCGTGGGACTGAACAACTTCGGTTTTGTGTTGAATCATTTCGTTGCTACAAGTTATTGGATGAGAAAGGGGCTGCTACGTTGCGAATTTCTTGATCCCCTTTTGTAGAAGTGAGTCAAACACATCCATTTTCTTCTTCTCTAGTGCTATTCCAATCTCAACTCCATTGCTGCCGTCTCTGGACTCTGAGAATGCGATAGAACCACCTGTTTCTATGTGCACTATCTCCATTTTGCAGGGCTTTCCTAATCCAAAATCCATGTCATACAGTCCCAATTTCGGAGCTCCTGCAATTGAGGTTGGATAATGGGACATGACCCATTTACGTACTCCTTGTCCCCATCTTGGTGCTGTCTTCAACAGATCGCTTGATAACATATCTTTGATTCTCGCTGTGATTGCATCTGAAGCAGCCATGACGCATTTTTCTCCTAGCAAATCGTGTTTCTTGACTGATACGATACCAGGAGCCATACAGTTGCCAAAGTATGTTTGTGGTATTGGTTGTGTGTACTTGAGACGATTCCTGCAATCCACGTTGATCATCAAGTGAAAGACTTCGTCCTTGGCCTCTGTTTCACTGTCTTGAACAAGTGTCTTAATCAAGCTTACCCAAATGAAAGCTAGAGTCACCACGAAGGTAGAAACAGGAGATTGATTCTCAGACTGCTCTGTAACCCAACTCTTGAGATTGTCTATCTGCTTCCGGCTCAATGTAAAAGTGGCTCTGACCATGTTCTCAGGCGTAACATGTGAACTGTGTTTTGCAGAGTTTTGGCTCCAAAACCGCTCCAAATGTCCTGCGGCTACCTCTCCTGGGTCCTTGATTATGTTTCTGCAGCTGTGAATAGGCAGAGAGGGTAGAAGAACCGTGGCCGGATCTTTGCCGCTGGATTTGGTCAATGACATCCAATACTTCATGAAATGACTGAAGGTGACTCCATCTGCTACAACATGTGTAGCTGAGTTGCCTATACAGATTCCAGCTCCAGGGAAGATGGTGACTTGCATTGCCATTATTGGTCGCATCTGAATTCCTTCCGGAGAGACGTGAGGAGGAGGTAACTTGGGCAAGACGCCATGCAACACACTGATATCTTTAGGGGAATCAGACTTCAGTTGGTCGAAGTCGGTTTCAGTAGACTCTGCTACGGTGAAAACAAGAGAGTCTTCGCCAGCGTTGTAGTGTAAATATGGAGGGTCGGGACGAGGCGGGATAATCAGTTTACCGGCGTAAGGGAAGAAATGTTGGAGAGTGATGGAGAGGGAATGTTTGAGGTTGGGTACAAAGTCTTGGAGGAAAGATTCAGTTGAGTTTTGGTAAGAGAAGAAGAAGAGAGAATCGGCGAGTGGGAGAGAGAGCCAGGGGGCATCGAAGAAGGTGAGAGGAAGAGTGGTGGATGCAACGGTGCCCTTTGGGGGAGAGATGTGACAGGTCTCGATGATGTTATAAGGTTGAAGTTGAGCCGCCATGGTGTGATTAAGTTTTGAGGAAATGAGTTCATATTTGTCTTTTTATAAAAGGAAAATGAAACCACCGGGCAAGTGAAGAAGTTGATTCTGTTACGTACTTTGGTCAAAAAAACGCTCTCATGTGCCCCAACCTCCACAACCACCATTTTTTTTGGTTTTCAAAACATTTGTTGGTCCTTTATGTTTGCTTATTTATCAATGGAACTCACAAATCACAATTAGTATTTTCGAATTTTATAATCTTTGAAAACCAAAAACATTACTTTTAAGTACACAATTGAAATTCATAGCTAAATAGTTAACATTACTGCTGCAACTCTATATTAATTGTAGAGTTATGGAAAAACAAAAGTACAAACTAAAATAAAGTTCGTTAAACTAGAATTTTACCCCGGAAAATCCACTATTTTTATGATATCTCCTTTACCGGAGTTACACAAATACACTAACCATATGTCTATAGTAATCTTTGTCACATATCAACTCAACCCACTAAAATATAATTCTATCCTCTCTGGTTTGTGTCGTATCATTTATCAACCCTAGTTAGATCAATAATCTCATAATTCCCCAATGCGAGGGCATCATTAGGATTGTTTATCAGTACCATCACATCATCTTTTTCTTGCTCTTGAGTAACGTCACAATCTTCTTGACGTTGTTGTTGTTGTTGTTGTTGTTGTTGTTGTTGAGTAACTTCGCGAGATTATTCTCCATCTAGCATCATCGTCTCAAGGTCATCATTAGCAAAACCGGTTAATTCAGCCTCTTCTGGCTGCTCACGATCTTCATGTCCCTCTAGCATCGTCTCAAGGCTATCAGCAAAACCGGTTAAATCAGCATCTTCTGGCTGCTCATGATCTTCTTGTCCCTCTAGCATCGTCTCAAGGCTATCAGCAAAACCGGTTAAATCAGCCTCTTCTTTCTGCTCACGGTCTTCTTGTCCCTCTAGCATCATCTCAAGCTGATCAGCAAAACCGGTTAAAGCATCCTCTTCTTACACTACTTGGTTCCGTAAGATGTTGTTGGTGTTCTCCGCCACCTGAGTCTGATGAGCCTGATGGTTAACGAGTCCAAACTCGTTGACGTTCGCCTCTTTCTTGTATCGGATCCGACACAAGACAACCTTTTGGAGGTCATCACTCTAGTGAAGAGAATACTCCATCTTCTGTCAATCGGTCTTGACAAGCTTTCCATGCACTCTCCTGTGGTACGTGAAAGACTGCTCGTAACCCATCACCCTTTTGCATGTGTCCGTCCTTGATCTCTTTTTTCCCATCGTTGCTTCTCCAAGTGCCGCCTTCGCTTCCTCCTCTTGCGGCTACCTTCCGGTGTACGCTTAATATCTTGCCACCTCGTTCAGTAAGCGGAACAAAGTAGTACCACTCGTTGTTATTGAACAAAGGATTGTTTACGTGAGGAAGAAGCCAAGGGTAGTCTTGGTGGATGTCCATAGTTGTTATGAAACTGCTCTGATTTCTCTCCACCTTGTTTCGAAGATAAAGCCTCACCAACCCTAGATCCGTCGGACAAAACCGTGATCCAACCGGAAGAATCTTCATATCGATCGTATAGATTCGAAGAAGAACTAGCTAAGGTACCTATATAATTGCTAAGGTTAAAAGTGCTCTTTCGTCTCTTGTGTAATACTGCTCTGTGAAGCAGGGTTTTCTTGAATTCCTCGCAGGTCAAGCGGCTGAACTCTCTATATGATCATGAATATATAGACAACGTGATGGGCCCAACCGGATTTTCTTTTGTCAGCGATTAACTATTTTTTGGAAAGAATAAGACGGTTGTAATTACATCTATTTGGTTATTTGAAATAATAATTAGATAGGATTCGAATCTATAATACACTTTTGTTTTGTTTATCACAGATTCTAACGATAGATAAAGATATATTACATGACCATGATTTATCCACATCAAAATAGCATAGTGCCGTAAACCGGCTAATCGTTTTGGGCCTAATTTGGGCAATTAAGCCCGTTAAGAAGGATAAGAGCCTATTGTGTATCAATATCTTCGGTTCGACCAAATTAAACCGCAATTTTAATTTCGTGTCTGGTTTGGTTTCGGCTAAATAATTCAGAAGTGGTTTAGTCTGAGAAGACTGGAACTGTGTTTTTCTTTTACCTTGAGCTGTTAAATAAAAAGGAAGAGCGGTCAAAATCAGTGGACGACGAAGACTTCTTATCATTTAATATCTCTCCATCATCATCTTCTTCTTCAGCATCAAATCCAAATTCGGATCAAACATGGCTTCTCACTCGTCGACTCTCCTCTCTTCTCCTACTTTCGCTCCTTTCTCCTCTCATCGTCTTCATTATTCTCCCAATCCCTCTACTCTCAGATTCTCCCGTCCAATCAGAAATAAACCTAATCTCGCCTTGCGATGTTCAGTCTCAATTGAGAAAGAAGTTCCCGAAACTGAACGACCCTTTACTTTCCTTAGGGATTCTGATGACGTCACTCCATCTTCTTCTTCTTCTTCCGTCAGGGCTCGTTTCGAGACTATGATTAGGGCTGCTCAAGACAGTGTTTGTGATGCAATTGAAGCTATAGAAGGCGGTCCTAAGTTTAAAGAAGATGTTTGGTCTCGACCTGGTGGTGGCGGTGGAATCAGTCGTGTGTTGCAGGACGGGAATGTCTTTGAGAAAGCTGGTGTTAATGTCTCTGTGGTTTATGGTGTTATGCCTCCTGAAGCTTATAGAGCTGCAAAGGGCTCAGCTTCTGATCAGAAACCTGGTCCTGTTCCGTTCTTCGCTGCTGGAGTCAGCTCGGTAATGAATCTCTCCCTTCAATTTTACGATTCTTGGAGGTTCTCATGTTTTATCATTACGATTTCTGTGTGATTCTAGGTTTTGCATCCCAAGAACCCTTTTGCCCCAACCCTGCATTTCAATTATCGCTATTTCGAGACAGATGCTCCAAAGGGTAAAAAAGCTAAAGTCTCAGTGAGATTGTAAAGTTGTTGTCTTTTGTTTGGACAACAGTCTTAAGTTTTTAATTTTCAACGGCGCAGATGTTCCTGGAGCTCCAAGGCAATGGTGGTTTGGTGGTGGCACTGATTTCACTCCTGCTTACATCTTTGAAGAAGATGTCAAGCATTTCCATTCGGTACTGAGCCTTATTCCTTGTTCTAAAGATATGAGCTTTGTGATCATGGAGTTGCTTTTATATAAACTGCTCTTTGTTGTTGTAGATTCAAAAGCAAGCCTGTGACAAATTTGACCCTTCCTTCTATCCCCGATTCAAGAAGTGGTGTGATGACTACTTTTACATCAAGGTAAGTTTTGTGAGATCCTGAAGCATTTTCTGGAACTGAGGGCCTTATTCTTTGAGTTGTGTTTAGGGATGTTATAGTCAAATCTGA